TACAAGTAGAATTATCCTATTGGAGGGTGTGCCGGGCTCCAATAATGTACTGCCACTTGCACATTATGTCATCCATTATGGATACCATAATGTACAAGTAGCACAACCCTATTCATAAAAGGTTAACAAATTCAAGCTTTAAGATCAAAAATCCGATAATCTATCCTCATCTAATGTCCATCCATGACCATATGTCCATATGTCAGCTTACCAAGCCCCTGTTTGGCGGCTCCCATTAAAATTTGGGATAATTGCAGCAGCGACACCAAACTTTTTATTTAGTAGCAGACGTTGCTCAAACCTTTCATTTGTTCCATTTACGGTACCATACATTTCATTTGTGTCACAAACGGTACCAAACTTTCTAAAAATATCTTAGCTGAAGTCTAAATTGATAGTTTCTGTTAGTTTGACAGTTAGTTGACCAAGTAATTGATTTTGACAATAATTTTGACTATTTTAAAAGGTTAAAGTGGTAATTTTACATTTTTTAATAATAAAATAACCAAAATTAAATAATTAAAATTAAAAACTCACTCCACCTTCTTCTTCTCCATCTACCCCACCCCAACCCCATCGTGAGGAAGACCCCAAAAACTAGTAGGAACTTTGCCGGAAAGTTCGTTGTGCCCGAACCTTACACGCAATAAGCTATGGCATTCAGCTAGAGCTATCGAAATTTGGCCGAAAAATGAATTTTCAATCATTAAAACCTCTTCAAGAACACCCTTTGAACACAGATTCTCAGGCATTTTGCTTGAAAACCCGTTCATTGAAACATTAATCCATTGTAAAGGCGAGTTTTTTTTCAAGATATGAAGGTAATTTATCAGTTAATTGGTTCTGAGTGGCAATGCTTAACTCATATAAATTAGGCAAATTGACAATGCTTGGAATCTATTCTCATACGGGTTGAGTGACCCGAGTGGCAACTGGGATTCCACCCACCAGATTAATGAACTCGGGATTCCACTCGTTAATGCGTTGAGAGCTACATCCAAGTCGGTGAGCCTCCGAAGTTAACCCAGTTTGGGATTCCACCTACCAGATTAGTCTACGTAAACATAGTACCTAGAGATTCGTGAGATTTCCAAGCTCCGGCGGGATTGACTTGATGAAAACGTGTTGTACGAGAGATTCAACTGTTTCAAGGTTGAAATGTTCCCCAAAACTGGGGATGGAAGAGAAGAAGAAGGGGGAGGAAGGGTGGATGGAGAAGAAGAAGGTGGAATGAATTTTTAATTTTAATTATTTGATTTTGGTTATTTTATTATTAAAAATGTAAAATTATCATTATAACCTTTTAAAATCAGTCAACATTATTGTCAAAGTCAATTATTTGGTCAACTTAATTTGGATTTCTATTACAGAT